AACGCCTACCTACTAAGAATAAAGAAGAGAACTCCCCACCCACTAAGAACACGTTAACAAATTATAAACATAATTTACGGCTTGTGAACGTCGACTGGATCCTCTTAAGTTAATTAATAGAACGTTTTGTTGGTCATCCTACCTTGAGGTCTGTCCAGCCCTTGAGGTCTGACCAGCCCTTGAGGTGTGGCTAGCCCTTGAGATTTAACCAGCCCTTGAGGTGTGGCCAGTCCTTGAGGTGTGACCAGCCCTTGTGAGTGGCCGGCCAAGCTTAGTGGAACCTGTTCTCGTAGATTACAATCAATACAACTTATCGAAGCCATTGGTCAGTTTACACGGTGCGCCGAATGTAAACTAACCAAGCCAAGACTATGGTTGCAACAGTGGACGCCCGTTGCAATTTTCCCCAGAGTTCGATTGGTTACATGATACCTATGGTTTTGAAGGGTGGCAAAACGAGTTTTTTCTCTGAAAACTGGATCCGAGAACTAATTAGACTACACCCAAGGTCCTTGTAGCGTGTTGTAGCGAGACCTCCAAGACTCTTGGTAAATAATGCTCTTGTAAAGAGTTAATCAGAGGTAACTGATATATATAGCTTGAGTGCGGATAATGGTGATACATAGAAGGGGTGAGGTGAAGATGGGGGTGAGGTCAGGAAGATTAAAATAGGGGTGAGCTCCTAAATATTTTGTCTGTATTTACTATAGAAATACTTAATAGCATACTTTCATATGATTTATAGATCATATATAGGTGAGCTATATAGGTGGTGATCTCCACCTAGATCTATATAGGTGGTGAAGAGGACAAGATGACTACAATAGCGGGTACCAAGGAAGAAGTTATTAAAATAGATAGAAGGCAAAACAAGTCCCCAGGACCAGACGAGGTGTACGCCAAGGTACTTAAAGAATGTAAAGAAGAGCTTAGTGAGCGCTCGTCTTGTATATTCAATAAATTCTTTGAAATCACGAAAGATGCCAGAGTCGTGGAGGGTTGCTAACGTGGCAACAGTTTTCAAGTAAGGAGATGGATCACTTGCGTCGAACTATCGGCCAATTTGCTTAACGTCATATTGTGAGAAAATTATGCAAAAGGCATTCGTCTTCAACTTGAAAAACATAGATTAATAAGTGGTTTACAACATGGTTTTACTAAGAGCAGCTTATGTTTGACAAATTTATTTTCATTCGGTTCGAGCATTTCAAGCAGTTGATAGCGGAAAAGTTGGTGACGTTGTGCATCTTGACTTTAGCAAAGTTTTTTATATAGTGCCATATGAAAATTGATTAAAAAGACAGAGACCTACGGTAAAAGGGGGTGCTATATCAAGTTGGATTAAGGCATGGTTATCCCAAGGAAACAAAGAGTTAGCATGGAGTTAAGTCAGAGTGGGCAACTGTTGTAAGTAGAGTGCTTCAAGGCTCTGTCCTGGGACTTCTGTTGTTAATAATATATATAAATGCTTTAAATTAAGGGACTGAGCAGCAATGTTTGAAGAGGTAAAGACTGTAGGAAAATCTAGATAGGCACTAAGATTACACACAGAAATCACAATTGCGTGATGCATCAAATGAACAAATCCACAAGTGCCGTGACGAGGATTTTCGGACGCAGGTTCGAATCCTCGTCACGGCCCTTGTGGATTTGTTCATTAGGCATTAAGATGATCCACCAAACGCTACCTTTATTGCTAACATCACCAGCGGAACGTTACTCCACGCCTAATAGCTACAGAAACGACCGATATTCATACATTTACACACAATGTATACGTAGAAGTATTCTCAGTGGAGCACTGTTTTATACTTATTATTACCAGTAGCGACATTAAATAGCTTTTATGTACCAGGTGTTGGTAATGTCGCTGTTTTTATACTGTAGTGAAGGTCGTGGCTGCAATTGTTATCGCGATTACAGGATACTAAAAAGGAGAAATAAAAGTATTGTGACTTTTTAAGTCAGCAAGAATGTGCTTCAAATATTTGACGGATCACAAGTTACTTGTGCAGACCGATTGTGTGTGGAGTGTCACCTGGGGTGACAGTGTCACCTGGGGTGACAGTGTCACCTGGGGGTTACAGTGTCACCTGGGATCAGAGTATCACCTGGGGTGACAGTGTCACCCTGGGGGTCACAGTGTCACCTGGGGTCACAGTGTTACCTGGAGTCAGAGTGTCACCTGGAGTCAGAGTGTCACCTGGGGTCCGTGTGTCACTTGGAGTCAGAGTGTCACCTGGAGTCACAGTGTCACCTGGGGTCACAGTGTCACCGTGTCACCTGGGGTCACAGTGTCACCGTGTCACCTGGGGGCACAGTGTCACCTGGGGGTCACAGTGTCACCTGGGGTCACAGTGTCACCTGTGGTCACAGTGTCACCTGGGGTCACAGTGTCACCTGGGGTCAGAGTTACCATAAACTGCCAATTAAGAAGCACTGAAGGCCATTAGATACAAAAATGCTTAAATTACCAAGAGTTGCTGAAATGTCAATTGATCTACAAAATACCCAGCACGTTTTTATATCAATTTTTGTTATAAATACAAGAGTCAGAATCCAAATACTTTTCCCACATATCTAGTTCAGTATTTAATCAAACTGTGATCTCTTGTTAGTCATTATTTTATATTTTAATTTCTTATCCAAACTGCTTTAGGCATTTGTATAGAAATTGTCGCAGAGTACAAAGATTAAATCCACGACTCAGCTATCGCAGATTTTGACAACGTTCAGGACATAATTTAGCAAATCATACTAAATACACAAATAACATTTATATGGATTAGTATGCAGGAGAAACAGCACAGAGCTCCGTAACTACGATTTGGATAATCAAATATAAATATTCATTTTCCACCTTCTAAGGATTGGGGAATAAAAATCCATTATATATATATATATATATATATATATATATATATATATATATATATATATATATATATATATATATATATATATATAATTAACGTTCCTAATTCGCTTTTACTCATTGGCCTACTAATGCCTGAAAGTCCAGACTTACGCTACGAGTGTAGAGACGTTTTGGCAAGTTTCTTTTCACCTGATTCACCTATTCAGCAGGGAACAGGTACCCGGTACTTAGACAACTGCTGAGGAGTTGCATCGTGGTGAAGGTCAGTAGTCGGCCTTGGGAGGCCTCGATAAGGTTAACGCAGTCTCCCTGTCCCCGACATTGGGAAACCAAGCCAAAAAGGGATTAATGGTACGTTAAGTACACGTTAGGCCTCCCTCTCCCCCCTCCCTACTAAGGTAGGGGGGGGGAGAGAAGGCCCCACAACAGTTGCTTAACTCCCGGGGAACCTATTTTGTGCTAGGTGAACAGAGGTATTGGGTGAAAGGAAACGTCCGGAACCATTTCTGTCCCGTCTGAGAATCGAACCCGGGATCTCTGATTGTAAGTCGAGACCCCAAGTCAGTTGTACTACGTTATGCTAAAATATACACGAAAAAAAAAGTATTTTAACATCTTAAAATTTCGTTTTATCAAATTCAAACTTATAAAGTGAACGAAATTGGAAAAATTTGGGTCCTAATTTTACCTTTTCAGTAAAGCTTGAGGGTCAGAAGGAGTATCTCAATCAGTTTAATTAACATACACGAAATACTGAAACACACACACTTAAAATAGTAGATAGATAAAGACAGGCTATTTAACACAAGGGGCACACGCACTAGGGGACACAGGTGGAAACTGAGTGCCCAAATGAGCCACAGAGATATTAGAAAGAACTTTTTTAGTGTCAGAGTGGTTGACAAATGGAATGCATTAGGCAGTGATGTGGTGGAGGCTGACTCCATACACAGTCATATCTACACTACACCAGTTTCAAGTGTAGATATGACAGAGCCCAATAGGCTCAGGAACCTGAACACCAGTTGATTTGACAGTTGAGAGGAGGGACCAAAGAGCCAGAGCTCAACCCCCCGTAAGCACCAATAGGTGAGTACACAACGTAAGATAGATGATGGAATTTTACTTAAAACGTAACATATGATGATGGAAATAGACGAAATGTTCACACGGAATAGTAACAGAACGAGGGGACATGAGTGGAAGCTGGAACCTCACAAGAGTCACAGGGAAGTGAGGAAGTATTCTTTTAGCGTGAGAATAGTGGAAAAATGGAATGGACTTAAGGAGCAGGTTGTGGAAGCAAACTCTACTCATAATTTTAAAACTAAATATGATAAGGAAATGGGACAGGAGTCATTGCTGTAAACAACCGATGGGTCGAAAGGCGGGATCCAAGAATCAGTGCTCGATCCCGCAGGCACAAATAGGTGAGTAACCCTCCCCCCATCCGTCCGCCCGTCAAGTCAGGCAGACGGACTGAAACGTCGTCAATCTATTTTCAGGAGTAAGTGTTACGTGTCTTAAACTTAATAACATTAATACTTCTGCTGTTGTTTACGTTTTTCTCCCAGATAAACAATGTTGTTTACTTTTGTGTACACTCGATTATGAACGGATAAGCATTGCTAATAACTATATAGCATTTTAATAATAGATTTTTATATATTTGAAATAGGTTTCAGACCTTGTCTATGTAATCCCCGATTACCAAATTTAATTTTAACAGTTGTAAACAATTGTAGACTATTGTAAACCGTTGTAAATAATTGTAGACCATTGTAAACTGTTGTAAATAATTGTAGACTATTTTAAACTGTTATAATTTGTTGCAAACTACTTCATTTACACTGAAACTTATTTATGCAATACTTAATTAAGCGAGGAAACAATTATCAATATTGACGAAACTTCTAAAATAATTCAGTAAAGAATTAGTTATAAAGAAAATAAAAAGGGACAAGAATTTTAACAAATAAACAAATGAACGGGTTAATTACAGGTGTTCTAGGAAACTCTTGTAGGCCTACTTTCATCACTAACATCTACGTTTTCGTTACAAAGGTGATTAGAACCTTACAAAGGGGACACCTTTGTTTAGTATCAACACTGTCACACTCACCTCAAGATATACCAACACCGGTGCTTGGGAACACTGGCATCAGCTGATCCGTTGTTTTGTTGTGGTTGGCAACACTGGCATCAGCTGATCCGCTGTTGTGTTGTGGTTGGTAACATTGACATCAGCTGATCCAACCTAGTATTAGGGGTTGGTAGCCCTGGTAACAGCTGATCCAGATCAGTGTTGTGAGCGGGTGTGGCAGTGTGGAGGCAGCGGGCGGCCGGGCAGCAAGGTCAGGTCCTCGCTCGCTGCATCTCAACAATTAGTGAGTGAAAGTCCCACTCAGCAAGTCCACTCACACTTCTTGACCCGCGCTTCAATTCCAAACGATAACGCAGGCTTAGATTGGGCTAGATTACTAAGCGTTGGCACATTAGCGTTCCCTAATGTCACTATAATTATCACTGAGGTTTCAAATAACGAGTAATTCAAATTAGTGTGTTTATCTAGTGTACTTTTTGTTTACAAATAGAGTGCTTCGTTGCCAAGTAGCGTTAAAACCGCGTGAATACTAACAGATCACAAACACAGCTTTGTTTTCAGAGTCCAGCACTCGGAGGTATAACATTACGATATTTCCAGCCACCATAAGTGAGACAACATCACCGATAACCACTGTATACCACTTTATCAAATCAGTTCAGTACTAAAAGTCCACTACGGGCTCGCCATAGCCCGTGCTACTTGGAACTTTTGATCAGAGTAGCTGAATCTAATACAACAATAGTTCAATAGCATTCAAATAATATAGGTATTCAATACCCTCTCCAGAACGTTCAAGGTAGTGTCTTGGAGCGAGAGAGAGGGATTGGGAGTGCGTTTGTTGGTGAGACGAGAGAGGGAGAGAGTGGGAGAGTGAGTGAATGAGTTGAGTAAGCCTGAGGAACGTGCTCTCCCCGCAGAGTCTGGCAGGTGACTGACGATAGCTTGCACACCTCATCTCTACACCTGCCCCCAGCTACAATCCTCCTCCTCCTCTCAGAGATTATTCAGTAGTTTCCTTCACTCGGCAATTGCGCCTCTATCTCCACCCCTGCTGAATGTGTTGTGTTGATGACGAGTCCTTCATTTACAGGAAAAAGGTGATGAATACTTCATCAAAACTTTGACATTTCTATGAAGCTTTGTCGACGAGATGATCCCGGTTGATACCTGGTTGATACCCATCAACCAGGACCCCATACCTGGTTGATACCCATCAACCAGGACCCCATACCTGGTTGATACCCATCAACCAGGTATCAACCGGGATCATCTCGTCGACAAAGCTTCATAGAAATGTCAAAGTTTTGATGGCAGATGAAAACTAGTTCTCCAGTGCCACCTCGTTCTCTTAAGCTGTCCCGTCAAGAAGATGCTGTATATGTTAAGTATCTTGGTGTATGTTAAGTGTAATTGGTGTAAGTGTTAAGTGTCTTGAGGTCATAAAGTGTCAGAGTGCATGCAAGGATTCGAATATTAAGCCAAGCTTCTGAAATTACTGGTCTCATACCCATCCTACAGATGAAAATGGATCTCCCAATCCATCTTACAGATGATAATGGACCCATACCCATATTACGGGTGGAAATGGGCCCCATACACATCGTGTGATTAGTTGTGAACCCTATATCAATCCTATGGACGGTAGTGGGCCCCCATTCATATCCTATGGGTTGTACTGGACCCCATACCAATCTTAACGGATGTACGGGATGTAGTGAACGCCATAATAATCCTACAAGCCAATCCTATGTAGTTGAGCACATAGGATGTAGTGGACCCCATACCAATCTAATGGGTTGTACTGAACCCCCATACCAATCCTCCTGGTTTTTATAGACGCCATACCAATACTTCGGGTTGCAATGGACCCCATACCAAACCTTTCTGGATGTAGTGGACCCCATACCAATCCTACGGATTGAAGTGGACCCCATACTAATCCTACGGGATGTAGTGAACGTTATAACACTCTTACGGGTTGAATTGAACCCCATACCAATTATACGGGTTGTAGCGGAACTCATACTAATCCTACGGGAATTAGTGGACCCCATACCAATCCTACAGGATGTGGTGGACCCCCATACCATTCCTACGGGTTGTAGCGGACCCCCACGCCCACCCTGTGGGTGGTAGCGGACCCCCACGCCCACCCTGTGGGTGGTAGTGGACCCCCACGCCCATCCTGTGTGCGGTAGCGGACTCCACCACGCCCATCCTGTGGGCGTTAGAGGACCCCCACGCCCATCCTGTGGGCGGTGACGGACCCCCACGCCCATCCTGGGGCGGTACCGGACCCCCACGCCCATCCTGTGGGCTGTAGCATACCCCCACGCCCATCCTGTGGGCGGTAGCGGACCCCCACGATCATCCTGTGGACTGTAGCGGACCCCCACGCCCTTCCTCTGGGTGGTAGCGGACCCCCACGCCTATCCTGTGGGCTGTAGCGGACCCCCACGCCCATCCTGTGGGCGGTAGCGGACCCCCACGCCCATCCTGGGGCGGTAGCGGACCCCCACGCCCATCCTGTGGGCGGTAGCGGACCCCCACGCCCGTCCTGTGGGCGGTAGCGGATCGCCACGCCCGTCCTGTGGGCGGTAGCGGACCCCCACGCCCATCCTGTGGGCGGTAGCGGATCGCCACGCCCGTCCTGTGGGCGGTAGCGGACCCCCACGGCCATCCTGTGGGCGGTAGCGGACCCCCACGCCCATCCTTTGGGCGGTAGCGGACCCGCACCCCCATCCTGTGGGTGGTAGCTGACCTCCACGCCCATCCTTTGGGCGGCAGCGGACCTTTACGCCCATCCTGTGGTAGTATCGGACCCCTACGCCCATCCTGTGGTAGTATCGGACCCCTACGCCCATTCTGTGGGCGGTAGCAGACCCTCACCTCATCCTGTGGGCGGTGGCAGATCCCCACGCCCACCCTATGGGCAGTAGCTGGCCCCCACGCCCAGCCTTTGGGCTGTGGCGGACCCACACCTCCATCCTGTGGGTGGCAGCGGTCCCCCATACCCATCCAACCGGTGCATGGATGGGTATGATGGACATAATAGTGTGTTTGCTCAATTGTGGACAATTTTCCAATATCATTGACTATTTTCAATCCTATTCAAATATCATGGATCGGCTACATCCTCTGGAAGCCTCTAAATTTTGTTTTGAGAAATCATGGTAATTCTCAGTATATTATATATATACTGTGAATTGTAATTTTCAGTATATCTCAGTATAAAAATTATTCTATGAAATTTATTTATTTATTTATATACAAGAAGGTACATTGGGTTTTAGAGAATACATAGCATAGTATTTACAATTTTGTAAAGCCACTAGTACGTGGCTAGTGGCGTGAAATATCATCAAAAGAAGGCACCAAACCGGGAAGGCTATGTAGCACCTCACACCCTCAAACCGCCGACGAGTATTAGGAAATAATAACTACCAAAACAATCTATTTATTATACAGTGCATCCTGGGAATGGTCAGTAATTCGACCTTGTGGAATACAGAGGACGGTTGGGAGACCTCGTGGGACTGAGCACAGAGTGCTCCAAATTTAGCTAAATTTTCTCGTAAGGAAAGAATTTATTCCCACATCTTATTACCTCATAGCAGCTTGAGGGCAGCAATATTCAGAAAAAAAACAGAAAATAATGATGCTTTCGCGTAACAACAATATATTACAATAGTGTGCTTTGAAAATCTTAGAGAAAGTTGTAGGAATGTTCACAGAAAACGGTGTGACGTTGGAATATACAGAGGTATACTACTACAAACGGGATAGATGTTGGGTCCACAACAGGTCACACAATGTTTATGAGGTTCATTACTAGCCTAAAAGATAGGTATGGAAGGGGGGTCCATTTCCATCTGTTGGATAGGTATTTGGTTCACTACCACCTGTTGGATTGGTATTGGCTCCACCAATGCGCACAGGATTGGCATGAGGATCACTACCGCTCACTAAATTAGTATGGGGCCAACTAAAACTTGTTAGATTGATATGGGGTCCATGGGCTTCCAGAGAAATCCAGAGGCCTCCAAGGACCTCCAGGGGCCTTTAAGGACCACTAAAATGCCTTTATGGGCCTCCCTGGAACTTTAGGGGGCCCTCCACGGACATCCAGAGCGCCTGCGGGGATTTTCAGAGGCCTCCTGGGACCTCATATGGCCACTAATGAGCCTTCAGAGACATTTTAAAGGCCTCCAAATACCTCCAGAGGCCTCAGGGGACCTCTAGGGACATCCAAGAGACCACCAAGGGCCTCCAGAGACCTCCAGGGAATTTCAAGGGGCCTTTAGGGTCCTCTTGGGACCTAAAGGAGGCCTTTAAAGTCCTCCAAGGGCCTCCAGGGATCTCAAGGAACCTCAAGGGGTCTCAAGAGACCTCCAGTGACATTCAGGTGGCCTTTAGGGACCTCCAGGAGGCCTTTCGGGGTCTCCAAGGACCTCCAGGAGACTTCCAGAGACCTTCAATGTAATTCAGGGGGCCACCAGTAACGTTTACAAGTCTTCAGGGGCCTCCAAGGACTTCCAGGGTCCTCCCGGAACATCTAGTGGGCCACCAGGCGCCTCCAGAGACCTCCAGGGAATTTCAGAGGGCCTCGGGGGACCTCCAGGAACCTCAAAGGAGCCTCCTAAGGGCCTCCAGGGACCTCAAGATACCTCCAGTAAATTTTAGAAGCCTCCAGGGGCTTCAGGGGACCGCCAGAGACCTCCAAGGGCCTCATGGGAGGCCCTTGGAGGCCTCCATAGACATTCTGGGGCCTTTAAGAACCTCCAGGAAACCTTTAGAGATCTCCAAGGTACTCCAGGGACCTCCAAGAACCTAAAAGTGGCCTTTAAGGGGCCTCCAGAGATATCCTGGGTGCCTCCAGAGACCTTCAGGGGCCTTTAGGAACCTCCAGGCGGCCTTTAGGGATCTCCAGGGGACCTCCAAGGGACCACCAGAGGCCTCCAAGGACCTCAAGTGGCCTCAAAGGGGCCTCCAGGGCTATCCTGGGGGCGCTAGAAGACCCAACGCCAATCCTGTGGGTGGTAGCGGACCTTCATGGACATCCTGTGGGTGGTAGTGAACCCCCACGGCCATCCTGTGAGTGGTAGCGGACCCCACGCCCATACTGTGGGCGGTAGCGGACCCCCCACGCCCATCCTGTGGGCGGTAGCGGACCCCCACGCCCGTCCTGTGGGCGGTTGCGGACCCTCACGCCCATCCTATGGGCGGTAGCTGACCCTTACAACCATCCTGTGGGCGGTAGCGGACCTCCACGCCCATCCTGTGGTGGTATCGGACCCCTACGCCCATTCTGTGGGCGGTAGCAGACCCTCACCTCATCCTGTGGGCGGTGGGAAATCCCCACGCCCACCCTATGGGCAGTAGCTGACCCCAGCGCCCAGCCTTTGGGCTGTTGCGGACCCACACCTCCATCTTGTGGGTGGCAGCGGTCCCCCATACCCATCCAACCGGTGCATGGATGGGTGTGATGGACATAATAGTGTGTTTGCTCAAATGTGGACAATTTTCCAATATCATTGACTATTTTCAATCCTATTCAAATATCATGGATCGGCTACATCCTCTGGAAGCCTCTTAGTTTTGTTTTGAGAAATCATGGTAATTTTCAGTATATTATATATATACTGTGAATCGTAATTTTCAGTATATCTCAGTATGAAAATTATTCTATGAAATTTACTTATATACAAGAAGGTACATTGGGTTTGAGAGAATACATAGCATAGTATTTACAATCCTGTAAAGCCACTAGTACGTGGCTAGTGGCGTGAAAATATCAAAAGAAGGCACCAAACCGGGAAGGCTATGTAGCACCACACACCCTCAAACAGCCGACGAGTATTAGGAAATAATAACTACCAAAACAATCTATTTATTATACAGTGCATCCTGCATCCTGTGATTTTTAACTTATTAAAGTGTGAACTTTATAGTAACTATTAACGTCCAGGATGATATTGTTCAGAATATTATTCTGCACAAGTGGCAGAATTTTTGCTCTAAGATCACTCTGTGACGCCGGATGGGTCCTCGGCGCTCTTCTCGTCTTTAAAGCAAGATTTCCCATCACCTTCCTCGCTCTTCCTGTCTCCGTCTCCCCACGGTACTCCTTGAGCGCCTTGAGCATAAGTCTCAAGACGAGTCTTATAGGATGTCAGGCGGTTCCCCGCTCCTTCCTACACGCCTTCTACAGCCAACCTCTTCAGTTCTGCCTGTTAGAGCTGTATGTTTTCCTTAAGATTTATAAGCTTATAACCGTCTTTTCGTAACCTCCACTTCAGACGACCACATCCAGACAGTTAGGAAGGCAACCAAAACCGTCTCGGGGTACTAAGGAACATCTACAACGACGGGATAACATAACACGACATTACCTCTCACTATGTCAAGTCTGTCACTTGACACCAGCCTCTGATGTTGATGCCTCTCGTTGGTCTTGCCTCTCAAGTCTTCCTACTTGGGAACCTGTACACTAAACATTGCTATCTTCAACACTGCCAGTGTATCCTCAGGATAGATATAGGGTCCATGACTAGTCACTCGATGAGTATGGGGTCAACTACGACCCATAAGATGGGTATGGGGTCCTCTGCCAACTGTTGGATGAGTATGGGGTCCACTACCACCCACAGGATGGGTATGTGGTCCATTACCGGCCACTGGATGGGTATGAGGTTCACTATTGCCCACCTGTGTGCGGTAGTGAACTCATATACTCATCCTATGAGCGGTTGTAGGCCCCATACCTATCCTATAGGTGGTAGTGGACCCCCCTAACCCATCTTGAGGATGATAGTAGACCCCATTCCCATCTTGTGGGGGGTAGTGGACTCAATTACCCATCCAAGCGGTGACAGTGGACCCCATACCTATCCTTTTGGGTAGTAGTGGACCCCCATGCCTATCCTTTTGGGTGGTAGTGGACCATATAAACATCGTGTGACTTTTAATGGACCCGTCAACTATCCTGTTTGCAATAGTATACCCCATAGACATGCAAACGTCATATCGTTTTCTGTCGACGTTCCTACAATTCATACTCTAAGATTCTTAAAGCTTACACTATTGTATATACTATTTTTAGCAAATGCATCATTATTATATGCAATTAGCCTTAAAATCATCAAAAATACTAAAATAAGGAGCCTTAGGAGGTAGCTATTTATTTTTTTAATTAACAATATTAGGTATACCCAGCAATGTGCTGCTACCCTATTGTATATGTGATATTACACAGTTTAGATCAAGAACTAACTATAGGTTCAACTATTATTCCCATCTCACAGGATGGTTGGTCATACACGGAATCAGGAGAGAAAATACAAGCCTCAATACAAAAATAAAACTCTGACTAAAAATCAGGCGATAACATAATATGTAAGGCTGATATATTAGCCCCCACTAGCAAAATCCTGGTACAGCTCAGCTATGTATACAACAGGTGAACTATAAATCTTAATTTATAATTTTAATAATAATACTTATTATTATTCATTATTTAACTTTGCCTCGAGTCAACTAGATTTTCTTTATTTTCTCGGAATATTGCTCCCCCTCAGGTTGCTCAGAGGCAGAGATGGGAATCAATTGCCATCCTTCTATCTTATTGGAGGAAACTGAGGTGTAGTCACCAAATATAAGCTAAGTCTCCATGGTGTAGTGGAAAGACACTTGCCTGGTGTTCCGCGAGCGCTTTGTCATGGGTTCATATCCTGGCCGGGGAGGATTTACTGGGCGCAAATCCTTAACTGTAGCCCCTGTTTAACTCAACAGTAAAATGGGTACTTGGTTGTAACAACGATTCTTCGCGGCGGGGATCGTATTCCAGGGACCTGCCCGAAACGCTACGCGTACTAGTGGCTCTACAAGAATGTAACAGAAACGTTCAGAGGTGTAACTGTACTCTATCTCAACATCAGAGGTCTGAGACTGTTCAACACGCTTCCACTACACAAAGCAACTCGTACGTCAAAAAAAAAAAAAAAAAAAAAAAAAAAAAAAAAAAAATGTGGCTCCAGTCTAGAGTTCACATACAGTCAAACACAGAACAAAGTTAGGAAAGGTTCAGAGGTATAGTATGTCACCAGGCTAGTAAACGAGCTGAGAGGTATGACGAATGAGGAAAGACTGCTGGAATTGAACCTCACGACACTGAAAGACAGAAGAGTTAGGAGAGGCATGATCACTACCTATAAAATTCTCAAGAGGAATTGACATGGTAGATAATGATAAACTGTTTAGCATCGGTGGGACACAGATGGAAGCCTAGTACCCAAATGAGCTACAGGGACATTAGAAAGAACTTTTTCAGTGTCAGAGTAGTTAACAGACAGAATGCATTAGGCAGTGATGTGGTGGAGGCAGACTCCATACACAGTTTCAAATGTAGATACAACAGAGCCCAATAGGTTCAGGAATCTGTACACCAGTTGATTGATTGATTAACAGTTGAGAGGTGGGACCAAAGAGCCGAAGCTCAACCCCCATAAGCACAACTAGGTGAGAATACCAGAAGTGGGAATGGAAAATTACAATTATCGATTAAATTTGAGGAAACAAGCTATTATGCTGTCCACGACGATGGGACGGGTACTATGGGACGGGTACTATGGGACGGGTACTATGGTACGCGAGGAAGGGTTGGTGCCTTTGATAGCTAATAACTGTAAATCTATCACAGAGAAACTGTGAACATTTTCAGCATAGGAACTATGAGCATTATGTGACATAAGCACTATGGTATCTCTAGGACAAGTTGAGTAATGTATATGAACTTGAAACCATTCACAAGAAATATTCCACAGCAAAATATAATTGATAAAGTGAATTTTAAAACATTCAGGAAATGTGTACAAGAGGTACAATCACAAAGTTAATTAAAGCTTTTATTTGAATAAAATATTTATTGCTAATAGACCTTATTTTTTTAGAGAATTGCACAGACATTGGGTCTTCAGATATACAAATTTGCATCTGTACATATAATGGCTACTCTATCATTGTATGAATCTAGTTTTGAGTACATATTAAAAAATTGAATTCATTCGTTCATTAATTTTATCTATTTCATTCACAAAGCATTAAATAAAATACATTTCAAACTTAATCTACGAACGAGTAAAAATTCTATCTAACTTTAAAGTTTACATAATTCTTTCAAGATAATATATCAGACAACTGAGTATTTAGTATATTAAAGGGATTATTAAATAACTTATATTACAGCAAATACAAACTTATACAATACCAAAAGAAAACCCTTCAATATACTATGTATGCAAAATAAGCATCCACCTCCACATACAACTAGAGTATTCATACATTTATAAAAGCATGTATATAAATAATTTTTTATACTCTACATAATATACAAGACCATTTGTATGAGAAAAATACTGTACTCACCTAGTTGTGGTTGCGGGGGTTGAGCTCTGGCTCTTTGGTCCCGCCTGTGACCAAACTATGATGACCCAATTGTGATGATTTTTATTACATTTAAATAACCTGGGTTCTAAATAATTAAACCATTCAATGTCATTTGATTTTTCCTCTTAATCTTTTATTTTTCTCAAATGAAGAGGGCAAATTTGGTGTACTTATCAATAGAAACAAATTCAAAAGAATTCACTTAATAATAGGTCAAGTGAATATTCTTTTTAGGGTACAACTAAACACGTGAGCAGAAACTGGTCATATTAAGCAATTACAAAAATGTAAAACTACAAATTTGGATTAGGTTCTAATAACGGTTATAACAAGAGGTTCAAAATAATGATCCGCAAGATATAAAATTGCTTCAAATATCAAATCTAAAACAATATTCCTCTTTAACCACCGTGCTGTGCGGTCTTAAAATATGACATTCCCGTTGTGCACCGAAAATAAATTCTTTGCAAAAAAATTTTTTTCCTTCCAAAAGTGATAAATACCCTCCCCTGATCACATATGTTGAAAATATTGCACAAATGTACTTATTTCGTCCCCTGAAAGTTGTTTTTCAACACTGCGGCTGACTGTGGACCAGGAGCTTACAGATTATGCATCAGACATGGTTGCTACCTTGAAACTGGAGCGCCCCATGGCCGTGGGGCATGCTGGGATCTTTTTTAAAATAGCAGACGATTACTGGAGGCCTCGGGCATCCATTTTGTACCCTGGTCACCGCACGCCAGTTTTGAATCGTATGCTATACCTATCATCACCCCGAGGGGCTCTGTGCACCCCTGATCTAGCATCTCAAGGCGCTCTGCACAGTGCAGTGGTTAAAGTTGTTTATTTGCATATGTCATTAGTTCTTAGTACTCTAAATCAGTAAGTAAATTTATTTATGCATTCCTAAAAAGAGTATTTCCACTTGAAGACTAATAATCATGAGGTGATTGGGAGCACAATATTAGTGTAATCATATTTATTATGAATTGACTTCAAATGTCTTGGGGTGTACAGCACTAGACAACATTATTTCAGTATCACAAAGTTCAGCACCCAAAGGAGTTCAATTAAATGTTTAAAAAATTTATGTTTTTAAACCATGAGCACCTGTAGCAAACTATTAAATTATCTCAAGCAAATAACTATCCTTTCGATATGAACTAAAATAATATCCTAGAAGATAACAAATAAAATATAAAATTTTTTATTAAATTTCATGATCACACAACTTTGATCTCCCCGTTGCAGTGTGAGCAGCAATTCACAGTGACATGTTCATAGCGAGTGTTGGGATGGAAGCGATGCATCATGGCAGACCTGCCTGGAGACAGAGTACTGCACTCGGCACATGACGAACCTTCATTAGAGCAGAGTCTTCCCACCAACTGGGGAGTAATAATCAAGTGTTAAAATAGGTATCACAAGATTAAAAATGTGCAAAAGGCCAATGTGAAGAAAGTTTCACATTTGTTTAAGAAAATAATACATGAGGCCAGCATACAATTATGTAATCAGTATTATTTTTAGTTTTCTGTGGGAGCCCCTTACAGAGGCACAATGAGTGGGTAGCACTCTGCCACCCTACAAGGAGAGCATCCAAAAAGTCAGTGAACCAATAAAGACCACTGTTAAGTTCAAAGAGACCGAGGCCTCAAAACTGTCAAACAAACCTCCAACAATGTAAACAAACGATCAAATATCTCAAAACAAGTGTGTACACTCATTTGTTCCATCTCTTCCACTAGTAAGGAGAGGAGTGGGCTGGGGCTCATGCTGTTTACTAGGCAACACCAATGGTTCTCAAGCAGATGTGCAAATGAAAAGACCCCGAACCGATGACCTGGAAGGAAGGGAGAGAATCGGAAAGCCATTGGAGCTCAACTAGAAAGAGGTTCTTAATTTCTGTACATTCAATGTTGGTTTTCTGGGGAGGAATTCCTTGTGGCTCCCTGAAGCTAAATACCCACAGAGAAGATAGAGAGGGACTCACCAGGAAGAGAAACTACAGGCAGTCAGAGCAAAAGCAAGATTTCAGTCGAGAGACATAACCTAAGCTAACACAGGCACAACGAGATCCGGGAACAAAAACCAAGTATTGGGCAACCTGTTACACTGCCAAATCACCCCAGGACATGTTAGTAAAAACATGCCACAGGAGCAGTGTACTTCCAAATATCATAGGCACGAGGGTAGACCATGCGCACGAAAAGGCAGGAAGTGAAACAAAACATGAGAGCTTCTGAAATGGCACCGAGGAAGTATCGATGCCGAACACATGCAGCAGCAGTTCCACCAGCACTCTATGATAGGATATTTAACATGACATGCTGGTCAAGAATCAACCAAAAGATCACCTGAATGGAAACCTAAGATGTTCCTGCACCCCCGTTGTATTTTTCTTTGCATCAGCTAGGAATTGGCACCTTCTTTTTAAGCAGCTGTATTTCCTAATTGTGAAGCCCTTGCGAAGGATGCCTATTAGCTGGAGTGGTTATGGTGGGGAGGGGGGGTTCCTGTAACTATTTTTTCCTCAGCCCAGCTGTTGGTTCAGGTCCTGGCCAGGCTGGAATCCTACCAGGAAAAATTGGTTCTGGCTCTTTGGTAGCCGACTCAACTTTGGTTTCAGGTGCTGCTTGCTCAATGTCTGAGAACTTGGGGAGGGGGAAAGGAATGGTTCACCTGTAGCTCCACCTCTTTTTGAAGGTCCACCCAATAACGTACCTCACTGGTTTGAACTTCTCCTTGACTCTGCGTCTGGCATTTTTGATAAGTCTTTATCACCATCTCTATGGTGAGCAGGTGGCTGACTTGATGGTATTCCACCTGTTGTTACCTTGCTGGCAGCAGTATGAGGGTTCTTGGCACACTTTTCACCACTCTTACCAATAGCCAAACCAGAGATATAGGAACTCCCACTGACTTTAATCCACCCAAAAGGCATTCATTGTGAGAATCTCAAGATCAGAAAATTATGTCATAGGAAGAAAGCCTCCTGTTACAAGTAAAATGGTCCACCTGGGAACACCCAAATGTTTTGTACAGCCAATAAAATAAAACATTGTTGACAGTGCACTCCACGGAAATGGGACAGAAATAAGAAAGAATTTTTGACATACCCTGCACATCAACTGCTCAGAAACCAAATCCCCAGAATCTAAAAAGTGAACCACCTGAAGAGTCCAACTTCACGAAGTAAGAGACCAGAACAAGCCCTCTCGATTCAGACAATGAACCACCATGGAGCAGTTGGAATGACGCCAGATTACAGAACCTGCAAAAAGATGAATATCCTGCAGAGCCTACCAATTCACCACAAACTAGAACACCATACTGTGTGCCTGATAAAGGGGACCTGCCCAATGACTCTGAGAAGCATGATGAGCACTCATCAAAGACCCCTAATCCAAGGCTGAAGCATCTGTAAACACATTGAGTGCCAGGGAAAGTAAGGAGCAATAACCCTGAAAAGCCTGAATAAGAAACTGGCAAACCCTAGTCCACACCCAAAAGTACCTGTGGCAGCAAGAAGGAGAAATCCAGAGAAATGTGAACAGAGCCTGATGCTTAACCCTGCTCTGCTCCTGCACCATCACTTGAGAAGTCACTGGGTAACCTGGGGATTCTCTAACATCAGCTGGAGGAATATTTCCAGAGAAGGGATGCAAGCGAAAGAAAGAAGCCAAATGAGAATCCATGACCAGGCCCAACCAAGAGAAAGCCAGCGATGGAATCAATGGGTATTTCTGCCAATTCACAAGGAACCTGAACCACATAAGAAAACTGGCTGAGAGCCCGAACTAGCCCTTTGTCAAGGTAGGCCAAGACACAAACCCCCAACAATTGAAGACTGTAACCTACCACATGCACCAACCTGGTGAAGGTTCAGGGAGCCAGATTTAAACCAAATGTGAAAACCTGCAAGCAGAATTAACCTCAACTAACCTTATATATGTATAGTGATCTCTAGTCACTATGTACATTGACGGAATGTACATAAAACCTTCAGCCCTAAGGGGGACACCCTCAGCAAGGGAAACTGAAAACCAACTGAGGTTAAAGAGCACTCACGTATCATTCTAAGGGTCCTGCTCAGCCCAGAACTTAACACTATCCCCCTGGGTAAGTGTCAGGTTCACCACACCAGACTTTTCGAACAAAAGAAACTCCCGACAAGAAAGAATCCGTGCCCAGAATAATCTTCTCCTGAGAAATAGAGGATTAGGAATCCTTAGAAATCCTAGAGGATTCAGTGGAATCCCAGGTTGCATTGCTTTAATACAACTACTGTACTTATATTTAGTAGGAAATGAATATCATAGACAAACTCTTTTGTAAAACAATCATTTTTATTACAAGACATTTAATCTCTTTAGTTTGCAAAGGGTTACCTGTCGAGCCATTTTTTCCCCTGGTGTTTGTGTTTCCAGTCCTTCCAAGGAGAGAGAGCAGCCAACAGATCGGCCAAGGTCACCAAGCAGACGGTCCCGGACAGTCTCAGCTAACACATCACCATCTACAGCAAGAGTGACTAAGTCTGCTGAGGCCAAAGGAGGAACACCACCCGATTGAGCAGCAAGTGGGTCAAATGCATCACTTAGCTGTTTGTTCATTCTGTTATAAATAAGAACATTTTACATTGGAAAGTACACATAAGTGTTAATGATTTGTCTTAGGTGTCAAAGAAAAGTGTGAGTTGGATTGTAAAATTCAATCTGGTAAAAGTAAATGCAAAATACAATACTTTTCTGTTAATTAGTTCCCAGATAGAATTGTTACAATATTCTGATAAAAGCACATGGTATCAAAATTTAACAGCATTACAAAATTGATAAATTGGTATGTTTATACAAGTCACTACTGTATATAAGGATTAATAAACAGTACAGTTCTTCACTAAAAGTAAGGTAGATGAATGGAATGAAAATGTACCTTTCTGGACTGGTACCTCACTTGCTACCCTAGCTCATAGCAAGTTACTTATAGTTCACACATTATGAACACCATTCATTCTACTGTATGCTCTAGTAAAGTTTACCTCACTATGGCCACTGACTATAAAAAACACTGGTGCCACACGGTTAAGGAAAAGAGAAGGTGAATACTGTAATCTATCTCAATATACTACTGAGCAACCACTTGCTATGAGACGAAACAGAAACACTCCACTCACCATCCCCTGTAAGCAAAGTCCTTGTGTTGATTAAAATCAACCTCATGACCTGTTGTTCTCATTAACCCAAAACAGTAGTGTTACACAGGATGGGGATGGCACATTAGAGAGGCAACTACAGAAGATCTCAGTGATCAATGTAGATTATACCCGAGTTGTGGATGTTATCACACATTTAGTTGAAGTACTGTGATTTATCAATTGTATGCACTGTAATTGTGCAGTTCAATCCATACTGTCACTGTGTATAACATCTTGTAGGTTCTTTTCTTTCTCGTTCCAGGAAAAAACATGAGTTTATTCAGTGAATTGTGTAGGGGTTATCTCTGTGATTTCCCACTTATATTTTATCTGTGATTATGGATCTGTGTGATTACATTGTATTATAAACTCGCTATATTGTGTTCAAGTTGTGTAGTGTATTAAAGCACCAGAAGTGGAGTACTATTTTGTTACTGTATTTGAGCAGTCTGCACAACCAGGTTTCATTTATATTATGATTAGTGATTGGACAATCAGTGAGCATAATTAACGCAAATTAATTACCTTCAGTAGGGAAGGTTAACGTGACTAACAATGTGTTGACTACTGCCAGTGTGGTCAAGCTATCCGAGTGATGAGCTAAGCATTAACGTAATTCATTGCGAGTTAATTAACAGTCAGCGTGACAGTAAGTGGTGCGATATACTCTCTGATTGTTTAATTATCTGGTGTTATGGTAATTATCTTTGAGAAGCAGCATTTGATTGCTCAACTGTCTGTGTTGGCAGATCGTAAGTAACGTAAATTACCTGCTCGTGGTTGACTGTCCAGGAGACAGTAATTAATGTAAATAATTACCGTCATTATACTAATTAACGTAATCGTGTAAAATTGTCATTTTGATTGGAATTGTTCAATCAAGTCATCTTGTACTTGTCATAGTACTGTAACATAATTATTGTTTGACCGACGTCTTTGCGACGTGTGTGTAAACATAGTAGAATAGATCACAGAAGACTGTCTCTGTGACAGGTTCGTCTGTTGTGTCTTTGTTGTTATTTTAATGTGTTTTACCGCAGTCATTAGTAACTGCTACTTTGCATCTGAGTGGGCACCCGTGTTAGTTAGTTAATTTTTGAGGAGCTGCAAACGGTTTGAGGAGCAGTTTAAAATAGCAGTTTGAGGAGCCCCACGACCTAGTGGATAAGAGTGCCAAGGATTTGGACTCTGGCGGCTGCTCTTGCAATTTATTTCAGTCTTAAATTAAAATCTCAAATCTAGCATTTAATATGCTGGTTGTGCAGTCCTTTCTGGCTGAGGACACTTGTATCAGTGCCATACCCCAATAAATCATCTCCATAGCACGGTAAGGAAAAGATGAAGACGAGCCTGATAAGATGATGATGTCCTTGGTGGGCCCAGCACTGGCTAGGCACCTTAGTCAAGAAATATTAATAAATCATTCAAGCTTGCCTGTAGATATTAAGAATGTGCTGTCTTGCCAAATCGTGTTCATCTATCACCACCCTCAGTGCCTCTTCTGCTTCCTCCAATTTCTGCATCAGTATCACCTTGCAACTCACCAGCTCATCCACAAGCATACTGTTGATTACAGCTTTATGAATGTATACAGCAAAAATTTTAATATTTTGCTACTAATGGCTTCATATAATAAACAATTACCACTATGTAACCATTACATAATTCTCTTATATTATTACAGTATTTACATTCAAAACATTACAGTATCTGGTATGTCTTATCTACAAGAAAATGAAACACATTAACCTGCTTCCAAGAAACTTTGAGCGCCAAACATCACACTGAATTCCCATTCTTTCCTTTTCTTCATAATCACGATCAACTCGAGCAGAGTAACGGCGTATCATGGTTGCCATGCGTGCCTTGTCTTCAGTAAGACATTGCACTCTTCCTTGGACATCCTCACCAACTGATGCAACCAAAAGTTTTTTCAGCTCTGTATTAACCTGTAATTTATTGAAAAATAAGAACATATCCAGACTGTGAAGTCTATCTAAACTGTAAAACATCAGTGGAATAATCTGAGTTACATGCTACATGTAAAATGCTACATGGGTCAGGATGGGAGGTCTGGGGAGGCCCGAGACTTCCCCCTTCCCTATCCCGGGGAGGGGGGGGGGGGAGCTGCGCACAGTAGCACAGCGGCTGTGGTGACGTCATGGTTGTTTGTTTTCTGACTGGGGAGTTCTCCTTGCTCATTCGGCTTTGGATTTGCAATTTTTAACCAGCTGTAGTTTGTTTTGGGATTCCTCCCTTTCAGGGTGCCTGATCTGGTAGATAGCAGATATAGGCTGCTTCCAACTACATGGGGGGTGTCTATAGGCCAATGCTCCTTGTGCCTCTTTAAGGGGGTCAGGTTCTGACTCGTGGTCCGCAGGAGGTATAGAACTCTATCGATTGATTGTTGCCACGGTCTAATATATACACATCAGCCCGGTATAACTCCGGGGAGCCGAAGGGGCTCTTCACAGAAAAAGTGTTATACTATAATTTAGGTAATTTCTACCAGTTTGAGTAAATGAATAGTTTATAAATTATCAGAATTATATAGTACTGTAAGGCTAAATTTTCTATATAATCAATATAATTCAGCTAGTTAAACACTCTATAATTGACTTATTTTCTGCACTAAGAGTACAGTACTGCCATAATGATATAGATGTATATACTGTATATGTATATAAATATACAGTACATGTATATTTTCTAAAATATGAATAATACATATATTACCATCAATATAGTACTTATTTTCTATACTAAGAGTGCTGTAACAAGTCACTTATGGGGAGTTAAAACTACTACATTGAGTTATATTAATAATGATGTATAAAGAATGCAGTTTTTATATTAAAATACTGTACATCATTTTGTCACACATGCATCCTGTTCTGTACACAAAAACAACTACTGTAAAGGAAAAGTAAACAATCTAATTCATCTATTTACTAAACATATTTATAAATACACACTAAAATACCTGTGACTGAACACTCAGCTGATTCTCCAAGTTGATCTTCTCTTTCTTAACTTGGCTGAGTTGGTCTTCTAAGGTCTTCTTCTCGGAGTTCAGTACAGATGTGTTCCATTCCCAGGTTGCTCTCTCCTTTTCAAAGTCCTTTACTAATATGCTCAGCTGAAAAAGTTAAGCAAAAAGACTAATTTTCATTTACCGAAAATATGTCTAGTCTATATGCTACCTCTATGGGCCAAAAAAAATAAGGCCTGTATCATGATGTCATATCTATTAAGGCCTGTATTATGATGTCATACCTATTAAGGCCTGTATGATGATGTTACGGATGTTTCTCACAGAGTCACCGGGCCTCCTCCAGAGAAACACATTTCATAAGTAATTATATTCAACATCGAATTTCTGGAGGGAGCTTCCATAGTGGCTCCCAGAAGCTACCTAATCACAGAGAACAAAACGATACCTACCCGGAAGGAAGAGAGGTGGCAGGCACTAAAACGAAAAAGAGAACATAGAATGGGAGACATGATCAAAAGCCACATACTACCAACTGACTAGGAACAGGCACAATGACTAAATACCAGGCTGCCAGTACTCTGTTAGAACGCCAAAACCCCCGAGCATGGATATCAGCCAAGGACATGTTGGATAAGATAGCAGCCAAAGCCGCTTGCTGTATTTGCGAACACCATGGGCCTGAAGGTACACTGTAGGCTGGCTAGACTTATTAACACTGTGGATGACCTAAGAAATGCAAGTCTTGGAATAGAAAACAAAGGAAACAGGGTTGTCCAACAAGGCACCCACAAGACAGAGCAGGTGGCCCGCAGGTGGCCCGCAGGTAGTGGTGAAGAGCCTCCAACAGACACGATAATTGATGCATCCTAGTCGAACCAACCAAGTATCAATCGCCAAAGAACCCCTCCACAACCCTACCAACTCATTCTTCACAAGAAAAGAAGGAAAAGGCTGCAAATTCAAAATCAGGCACTAGTGGCCAAAGGAACAGAACAAAACAGAATAAAAGAAATTATTTTTTTTATTAAGAGAATTTCTTTCATTATTTATTAATTATGTATTAGAAAGTACAGCCCCTAATCAAAACAGACATCATCATATACTATAAAACAAAGAAGACTACTGACTGCATCATTAAAAACAGCCCAAAGTCAACTGAGAATCCTTTGCAGCAGTCAAACATTGTATATATATGGACACCTGCCCCCATGAAGAATGTAACCTTCAATCCAAGTACATAGGTATGATGTTGACTATGCTCATGAGGCATTCAACCTGTCATCTTCAATCAGGTGCCTCTAATTTAATTTAATTTTGTCCTGAGGCCCCTAAAAATCAGATGAGAGAAGCCAATGACATCACCTTAACAAGAGAAATGCCGAATAAAAGCACTTGCATATTAGATAAAACCCAAGATGTAAGAATACAAATTCTTTAAGCATTACACAAAAAGGAAAAACCCACCATAAACACTCAAATAACAGAATTATTCACTTTGCCTACCATGAATGAGAGCAAAAGCACAACGCGAACATGTCAACGATGACATCACTGCCCAAAACAGCATGCCCTCTTTGGTCACTAGAGCTCTCCTTACCTTAGCACCTGACTTATTTTTGTATGCTTAGTTTCTTAGCCCGTCACCTCCCTTTCCCTCTAATCTTTTTCTTTCACCTTTCTCCTGACTTAATTTTATATGCAACTAATCTTGTGTTATAAATCAGATGTTCCCTCATGTCTTATCATTCCTCACTTAAGAATGAACCTTATAGGTTCAAAACATTGTGTAAGTTATAATAAGTATAATTCATTATACAGTTAATTCTTTATTCTTTTAGTTATCCTACATATAAAGTATATATTATACATATATATATATTAATATATTTATATTACCCTCTCAGCACTCTTGTCCTCAGCATTGGTGTTTGAAGGCAATTTGTCTTCACATACTTCAGGTTCAGTTGCCTCGGGTATTGGAGTCACACTTCTGCCTTGTTTGCTCCCCTTTTTGTTCTTTTTATTAAGTATTGGCTTCACACACCCTTTATATGGCTCATATGGCACAAACTTTGGTTCTTTTCTCTTTTTAGAATATACATATGAATTTCTTTCTCTTGTACATAGGAATGAGCTCATGTTCTGAGTTCTTGGAATTACAGGAATGATCTTCTTTGTGTATAAATCTTTAGGTGGCAAATTGAGCAAGTTTGTGTCTGGGCATGACATGATGGAAACTTTTGTGAGTTTTTGAGCAATATCTGCAACTTCAGGTAGGTAGTTCTCTGAAGTCTGCTTAATTGTGTGAACCCTGTCTTTTCTCGCTATTACAGGACTTTCCAGTTCAGTATTGTCTAGTTTGAGTTTGTGAACAGCTTCAACATTGTGAATGTCTTTGTTGATCTTCTTATACCCATTCTTTGATTTTGTACAAGCTTTTCCCGATTCTTGTAACTGTGGAGAAGAAGCTGGTTCCTGTTCTTCTCCATCTCCCCGAGACCTTTGGCCAGCGGCTACTCTGTGAAGTGTCACACCTGGAAATAATCTCTAATAAGTACTAAATGTGAATTAATAAATCACATATTATATACAAAAAATGCATTTTTTTCCAAATACAAAAAAAGCAATTGTGTACTGAGTAAATTGTTATAAATTACATACATAGAAAAAGCATTTCAGTCATAATCAAAGTTATTTCCAGATAGATCAGAATTACTATGAAGAGCCCGTTTGCTTTAAAAATATTTCCAAGAATTACAATACTCTAAGAAAATGGTCATTAAAAATTATGGTTTTCTCAAATTTATTCAGATAGTCACAATATATTATTTTATCTGCATTACAATAAGAAACCTAAGGAGAAAATATATTCAAAAGCAAGCAAAAGTCAAAAAAATAAAGTATTACACGTCTCCTATTAATAATTTTTAGATCCTTTTGGCCCAACTTCCCATCAACAATACTTGGCACTCTGCCCCTTGCTAAGGGGCAGAGTGCCCCTTGAGTTATACTCGTATTTCAGATTTTTGTCCGAGAACATAATTTTTTCATTCTCGCTTATTTGGCATTATTCCCTTAGGTGCAAGGCGCAAAATAATCTAACTAAACTAAAAAACGTTTTCCAGCATTTTTCCTTCCTTTTTCCAACTATGTACCGAACCTAGCTTACATCTTTCCTAACCACTGTACTACTGAACACTTTCACCTCAAGCAATTGGTTCTAATTCATGGATTTCAAATGGCCAAACCACCACAAGTCATCAAATGCTTTCCTTTTTAACATAACATCCAATAGTGAAGACATGAGATCACAACTCAACATATTTGTTGTTATGAATCCTAGATTTAATTATAGTACAGTATCACTTGAGATACCCTGGGGGTCAAAACGCTTATGGAATTCTTATAACTAATTAAAGCATCTAAAATTTTCTCATTTGGAGTACAGTAATTTAGGTCAGAGTGAACTCTGAGTTTCAGAAGTCTGAAGTGAATTTTTTAATATACAGTACAAACCTACTCTATGATATTTCTTTACTGTTATAACTATAATTATTGTACAGTATCATATTTTAGATCTGACACCACAGTCCATGAAAGCTCTCAATTTAAATGGGTGTTTGTTAATCCCCAAAACACTTTTTTCCACTAAATTCATCATTGGTTTTTAGGACTTGAATGTTATGTTATCAAAGATTATGAAGTTATTTAATTTGTATTATTTTGAATAGAAGATTTTGCAGTACCCACAGTAAATGTAAAATTTGCAAAAATAATGTTTGCACATTTTTATAAATGAATTTCTTCCTCATTTGAATTTGCCTTTTGGGTATTGTCAAATTACTGAAACTGAGAGCAGTGTTCAAAAGAGAACTCAACAAGCACCTTCATAGGATACTTGATCAACCAGGCTGCGACTCGTACGTCAAACAGCAAGCAGCTGCATTCAACAGCCTGTTTGATCAAACCAGCAACCAAGAGACCTGGTCAGAGAGCAAGCCATGGGAAACTGATACCCAAAATCATCAACAAGTTGACCTAAAATGAAATTACTGTACAGCAAACAAGTGTTAACGAAGAGTCTCTGAATGCATCACCAAGTTGCACAAAAAAATTACTGGTAAATTTAGCTTTTTATTTGTGAATCAAAGAGACAGAACAACATTACCTTGTACTGGATAAAGAACTGCACCTGCTGGCTTCATGATGTGAAGTATTGTACCTAAGATGATGAATACCACTTTAATTGTTGGAATTTGTTAAATCTACAATAATTGAGACATCAAATTCAAGTTACCATTAATGTTGGTATGATGCCCAACGAACAACGGCAATAACAATTAATAGTGCAATTTAGCATTGAAACTGAAGACTTGTGGTAATGACAAACAAAAGGGTAGTAATATGCCAATAAAATAAATTACTTTTTAGATTAATTAAGATCAAAAGCTCACTAATTCAACCATACAAATTCAGGATAGCTGGAGTAAGAAAATCAGTAAACTGGGAACTTATTACAGTAATTGTAGTTTGGGGGTTATACCACATAACTCAGAGTTCATTACAGAAAAATACTTTAATTATTTCAAACTGGCTGTTACTGGGCCAGATACATCATATATATATATATATATATACTTTATGTAACATTAGCTTACATAAAAATATTGTTTTTGTACCCCCCTGGGACTGTATCAAAACAGTGCAGCTCCACATGGGTTTGTATGCAAAGAGTGCAGCTTAATGTGGGGTTGTATCCAAAAAGCACAGGTCAATGTATGGGGTTGTATCCAAAAAGCACAGGTCAATGTGGGGTTGTATCCAAAAAGCACAGGTCAATGTGGGGTTGTATCCAAAAAGCACAGGTCAATGTGGGGTTGTGTCCAAAAAGCACAGGTCAATGTGGGGTTGTGTCCAAAAAAGCACAGGTCAATGTGGGGTTGTATCAAAAAAAGTACTGGTCAATGTAGGGGTTGTATCCAAAAAGCACAGGTCAATGTGGGATTGTATCCAAAAAAGCACAGGTCAATGTGGGGATGTATCCAAAAAGCACAGGTCAATGAGGAGTTATATCCAACGAACACAGCTCCAAGTGGACCTGTATCCAAAGAGTGCAGCACCATATGCACATATATCCAACAAATCCACAATTGGCTCCAGATGTTGTCAATATTTAGGCTGCAAACGTAACCTATTCCACCAGGTTTCGGCTTCGTTACTTCAGCATACATTTACACCTACGTGAGGTAAATAACGAACACTAGAGGTGTCTCTTTCACTCAGAAAAACAGTCTCTTGTTACCCACTTCCAACACCTCTTCCGGAAATAAACAACAGCCAGGGAGATGTTTACCTTCTCTCGGTGTCCGAATACGACAACTTCCAAAATAAACAAAAATCGAGGCTCAATTATATCGAGTTAATTATATTGAGTGAAAAGACTTAGTTATTCCTTATATAATAAGTGTTGTAACATTTTAACTGTTATCTAAGGTAAATTAAGAAAACTATAAATATATACTAAATCATATGACATTTTTCATAGGGTAGATAAATTAGGGAGGGTATATCTCACTCACTCGGTACCCCTACTCAAATCTCTTAATATGTTAGATATTAAGTCACTGCACATTCTCTCATGTGTATTATACATATATAAAACGCTAAACTATAATGCCAATCCTGATCTTAAAAGCTATAGAAGGTTGTAACAGAACCCATGAGCACCACACCAGAAATAAATACAGTTTTGATATTCCTAGAGTACGTCTTAATCAAACTAGAAATGCTCTGCAAATCAAGGGGCCCAGAATGTGGAATGACCTTCCCAACCATGTTAAAGACTGTACCTCTCTCAACCAGTTTAAGATAAAAACTAAACACTACCTAATAAATTCCCTGTAATCTACCTCACTCCTCTATTGTCAACCCATGTCTGTTATTTTCTTTTTTTTTCTTTTTTTTTAATCAACACTGTTTGTCAACCTATTGTATTTGTGCTGCTTTTTCAGTCATGTTCCCCCTTTTTTTTTATCTTTATTGTATTTGTTCTCAACATCTTTTATTCTTTATGCTCAATTAGTATTAAGTTCTAGATATTAATGTTTTTCTTGCCCGAAACGCATTGCGTAATAGTGGCTTTAGGCATTGTATGTACTAGCTCTATCTATATATCAATCCATTAATGTAACATCACTTGTATGTATATACCTTACCTGAATAAACATCTGAATCTGAATCTAAACATACCTTCTTATAATGTCTATAAATTATATTATATTTGTACATAATTAATTTTATTTGTACATAATTAATTTTATTTGTACATAATTAATATTATTGTATATAATTAATTTTATTAAATTCATATTAACAAGTAAGTAAGTAAGGGGGGTAGAAATAGCCTAAGCTACTCTATCCCTTTGAGATGTATTTATTGCTTATCTCAATAAACATACTTGAACTTGAACTTGAGTAAGTAATTAACAAAAGAAGGCACCAAACCGGGAAGGCTATGTAGCACCATCAAATGCGCGGAATAACCATTGAGGGCAACCAGAAAAAAAAGAGTAGTGCTCAGAACACTACCCTGGGGCACACCTTCGTGAGTCTGAGGAAGGTGGGAAGGACGAGGAGAGGAAGAGCGCAACACGCGAGCATAAGAGACGTTAGCATAAGGCGGGAGCCGGCAAACCTGGCGCCTCGCCTCAGGAAAAGATAAACGCTCCCGGTGCTTCAAGTTGAGGACGGCTGCCTCAAGCTTGTAATGGATACACGCACGGGAGGAGGTAGGGTTGGCCTCACCGCAGTTGAGGCAGCGAACCTGGGGAGAAGTGCACTCCGACTTAAGAGTGACCTTCGCCCCCACACAAAGGACAGAGAGAGACAGTCCCAGAGCAGCGGAGGGCACCATGCCCAAACCTCCAGCACTTGTTACAGAGCCGAGGAGAAGGAATATACTCCTGGACAGAGCACCTGGTACCAGCAAGAATGACATAGGGTGGAAGGGTCCTACCATCAAAGGTGATCTTCACAACCCGAAGGGGTTGACGGCGACGACCACGAGGGGGGACGAGTAAACGAGTCTACCTGGAGAACAGAATGGCCCTGGGCATCAAGGATATGCCGAATATCATCGTGGCAATCCTGCAGATTCCGAACACCGATCGCAACATGGGGCGGGAGGAGAACAGTGCTAACACTGGCATTCAACTGAGCGTTCTTTGAGACCCGAACAGGGGTCTCGCCAAGGCAGCCAAGCGGGAGGCCGCATCCTGAGAAGGAGCAGCAACGACACGTGTACCGAGACGAGTGGGGTTGAAGGTAACAGACGCATCCACGGAATCAACAAGATGCCGATGGAGGGAGAAATCGTCAGGAGGCGCAGAATCAAGAGGGAGGAGATCAATGTATTTGGCCCATGAAGCGGCACCATACAAGGCCTGATACGCATCAGCACGGGAAGGAATCGAGCGAGTGCGGCCGTGGCGCGGACGGCGTTGAGAACCCCCAGAGAGAGAGGGGTCAAAAGGCGCAGTAGTCACAAGGAGAGACTTAGCCGCACCAGGGGACGAAGTGGTCACCACTGGGGGCTTGAGGCTCGACCCAACCACAGAAGAGGGATGGGAGCTGGGGGAAGAAGTGATCATTGCTGTCTTATATGTGCTGTCAATCTGCTGTATGGTGTCTATTAACCTTATTTAAATTACTAATCAAGCTGCCAATGTAATCAATCAGAGCTTTAATATAACAATGTGCTTTAATATACTTATCTCTCTCATCTCATTTTTCTCTTGTAATGTATCTTTATCATTTATCAATTCTGATTGAAATTACCTACTTAAAATTATCTGCTAGATTAAGGACCTGCCCGAAACGCTGTGCGTACTAGTGGCTTTACAAGAATGTAAATACTGTACTATCCAATGTATTCTCACAAACCCAATGTACCTTCTTGTATATATATAAATAAATAAATAAATAAATAAATAAAGTCAGGAGAGTCAAAGGAGGAGCAAGGTCGGGGCGCAACGCAGCGGAGGCTACAGAGCCCGGTCTTCCAATACAGGCCGACTCGGGGGCCTGGTCGCCCACCCCACGAGCCCGAGAGGGTACAACAGACACATTCAATGACATACAGACGAAGAGTGATAAATTCATCCACGAATGTGCCCCCATACCCACCAAGGAGCCACAATTAGAGGCAAGACACCCAACAGGAAGTTATCGCCGATCATGCCGGGGCTCCCTAGGGGTGTGTAGTGAGTATCCGCCCCACAAACGCCACCTTAAGAACCGTCAGTCCGTCGAGATCGGGTTCAGCGACGAAAGGGGGATTGACAATAAAAGGTTCCCCTCGCTTGAGACGTTGGGTACTACAGTTCTACGGGTGCAAGAGTATGTCTCCTCAAGCACCCTGGTTGATACCTGGTTGATGGGGTTCTGGGAGTTCTTCTACTCCCCAAGCCCGGCCCGAGGCCAGGCTCGACTTGTGAGAGTCTGGTCCACCAGGCTGTTGCTTGGAGCGGCCCGCAGGGCCACATACCCACCACAGCCCGGTTGATCCGGAACTTCTCTTAGAAATCCGTCCAGTTTTCTCTTGAAGATGTCCACGGTTGTTCCGGCAATATTTCTTATAGTAGCTGGGATGACGTTGAACAACCGCGGACCTCTGATGTTTATACAGTGTTCTCTGATTGCGCCTATGGCACCTCTGCTTTTCACTGGTTCAATCTTGCATTTTCTTCCATATCGTTCACTCCAGTACGTTGTTATTTTACTGTGTAGATTTGGGACCTGACCCTCCAGTATTTTCCATGTGTATATTATTTGGTATCTCTCTCGTCTCCTTTCTAGAGAGTACATTTGGAGAGCTTTGAGACGATCCCAATAATTTAGGTGTTTTATCTCGTCTATGCGTGCCGTATATGTTCTCTGTATTCCCTCTATTTCAGCATTCTCTCCTGCTCTGAAGGGGGAAGTGAGTACTGAGCAGTACTCGAGACTGGACAACACAAGTGACTTGAAGAGTATAACCATTGTGATGGGATCCCTGGATTTGAAAGTTCTCGTAATCCATCCGATCATTTTTCTAGCTGACGCGATATTTGCTTGGTTATGCTCCCTAAACCTTAGATCGTCGGACATCATTATTCCCAAATCCTTGACATGCTGTTTTTCTACTATGGGAAAATTCGATTGTGTTTTGTACCCTGTATTATGTTTCAAATCCTCATTTTTGCCGTACCTGAGTACCTGAAATTTATCACTGTTAAACATCATGTTATTTTCTGCTGCCCAATCGAAAACTTTGTTGACATCTGCTTGTAGTTTTTCAATGTCTTCAGCAGAGGTAATTTTCATGCTGATTTTTGTGTCATCTGCAAAGGACGACACGAAGCTGTGACATGTATTTTTGTCTATATCAGATATGAGAATAAGGAACAGTAGCGGTGCAAGGACTGTACCTTGAGGTACAGAGCTTTTAACATCGCTTGGACTCGATTTTATCTGATTGACTGTTACTCTTTGTGTTCTGTTCGACAGGAAATTGAGTATCCAGCGTCCTACTTTTCCAGTTATTCCCATTGACCTCATTTTGTGAGCTATCACCCCATGGTCACATTTGTCGAACGCCTTTGCAAAGACTGTGTATACAACATCTGCATTTTGCTTTTCTTCTAGGGCTTCTGTGATTTTGTCATAGTGGTTGAGTAACTGTGACAGGCAGGATCTTCCCGCTCTAAATCCATGTTGTCCTGGGTTGTGCAATTCATTGTTTTCCATAAAACTAGAAATTTGATTCCTAATCACTCTTTCAAACACTTGTTATGTGTGATGTTAGTGCAACTGGCCTATAGTTTTCTGCTAAGGCTTTACTCCCCGCCTTGTGCAACGGAGCTATATCTGCAGATTTAAGTGCTGCTGGTATCTCCCCTATATCCAGGCTCTTTCTCCATATTACGTTGAGTGCTCTCGCTACTGGTATTTTACAATTCTTTATGAATATTGAATTCCACGAGTCAGGCCCAGGAGCTGAGTGCATAGGCATATTGTCAATTTCTCTTTCAAAGTCTTCCGAGTTTGTGGTAATATCGGTTATTTTATCTGCAGCTTGAATGTCATTCATAAAGAAGCTGTCTGGGTCATCAACTTTCATGTTGTTTATTGGTGTGCTAAACATAGCCTCGTACTGGCCTCTTAGAATTTCACTAATCTCTTTGTTGTCCTCTGTGTACGTACCTTCATTTGTAATTAACGGTCCAATACTGGTCGAGGTTTTGGATTTTGATTCTGCGTATGTGAAAAAAAATTTCGGATTTTTCCTTATCTCTTGTATAGC